AGCAATACTTCTGACTGCAGTTCAATTACTCACTATCTACACACACACATTAATTGTCACGTTGTGAGCGTCCTATTTATATACCAGAAAAAACATATAACTAGTAAATGCTAGGGCATTCATGAAGGAACAAGATTCTTCCAGAAAATAGGCGGCGTGACAATAGTCACGTGACCCTCTGACGCAACAATATCTTTAAAAGGAAAGGAAGGGACCACCAAGCCTGTACCATCTACTTAAAAAAGAAAAACTCCAGCCTTGATCACTTAAATATTATAATATAGCATAACTTTTTAGGACAACAACGAGCCGTTAAATAATCCAATCATCCTCATTATTTATGTTTTCGCCGAGTCTTCACCTACACTCCCTTAAATTTACTGCTTCCATCTAAAGTACCCATTCCAAAAATAACTACCCTGTTAAAACAGTAAAACTGTCTAAGCTGAAGATGACTTCTACCCTATCAAAACTTATAATTTTGCGTCTTTTCCTACCACTTTCACATTAAATAAAAGTACATGATAAAACGATATTGTGACGACATCATAAGATACGTGATGAGATTCTCGAGGAATCATGACTTTTCCTGGCAACTCTAGTCTGTTCCAGGCGCCCTCCTTTTTAGTATATAAGACCGGCAAATAAAGCGGAGAGATGATTGCAGATAGATAGATATAGAGACAGATAATTGAGTCAAGCGAGCGGTAGTGACGGGAATATAAAGTGTGTGTTTTGTTATCGAGATTGAAAACATATTGACTGTGGAAATTCTGTGTATTATAAAGTTGTATCGAGAAAGAATGAACTAGTTTTAACTAAGAAAGGACTTGTATCGCTGAAGTTCCTCGGAAGGAACTTATACCGGAAATTAACAAACGAGCAGATACGCAATATATTGGTGTCAGAGAGTGGGACGAAAAAAAAAGAAGATGGAAACGAGAGGTGGCAAATCAAAGTACAGCTTAGCAGATTTGATGGCAGCAATACAAGAACAGCAAAAGAAACAAGAAGAACAAGAAAGGAAACAAGAAGAGAGATTACAGCAGTTGTTGGAGGAAAAGAAAGAAACAAGAAGAGAGATTACAGCAGTTTTTGGAGGAAAAAAAGAAACAAGAAGAAAGTCTCCAAAGTTGAGAGAAAGCCAGCATACACAAATGGAAAATATTAGTAAATTTCAAAGTGAATTAGATACATTAAAGGACGATTTACTGTCCTCTACAGAAGAAAGAGAGACAACAGCAGTGGCAAGAAAACCTGCAACAGTGGCAGCTCGAACAGCAAAATAAACAAGAGAGGCTACAGCAGTGGTTGGAAAAGAAAGAAAATAAACAAGAAGAGAGATTACAGCAGTGGCAACTGGAACAAGAAAGGAAGCAGGAAGAAAGTCTTCAACAGTTGCAGGAAAGTCAGCAGCAACTACAGGAAAGTCAACAACAGTGGAAAGAAGTAAATTTCAAAGTGAATTAAATACACTAAAAGATGATTTACTGTCTTTTACACAAGAAGGATATAGTAGCCATAGACCTAATCATTCTCAGACAATGGGATGCCCCCTCCAGACCCCACAGCTAAACCCTAATGCAGACATGTTCAGTCCTGCCAGAAGTCACATTCCAGACATGAGTGTCAGCAATAGGGATGATCTAGTACGAAGGAAGCCCCAGCAATTCGATGGGAATGCACCATATAGAGCACAATTTGAGCTCCTGGTAGAAATGAATGGATGGACAGAGGAGCAGAAAGTGGTGTACTTGGCAACGAACCTGAAGGGACAACCACTGGAAATACTTGGACAGTTGTCAGCAGACGACAGGCATAACTATAGAGCACTGGTAGCTACTCTAGAACTCAGGTATGGAACCCAAAATCAGTCTGAAGTCTACGAACTAGTTTTGGATGAGAGTCTGTGCAAAAGGGGAGAGCCTGCAAGAGCTGGCACAGGATTTGGAAAGTATGGCACACAAGGTCTACCCAACTGCGCCACCCAATGTCCCCAAGCTGTTGCTGAGGGATCAGTTTGTAGACACCTTGAACAGTCCACAACTGAAGATACAAGTGAAGCAAGCACACCAATCTACTATACAAGATGCAATGGCCAGAGCTCTTGAATTCGAATCCTACGTTAATTTCAGCACAGACATACCAAGGTTGGTACAGTCATCAGGATTCAAGGCCAGAAAAGGTCAGCTTTCAGAGAAGTTTGAGGGACTTTGCTGGCACTCTAACAAACCTGGGCACAAGAGAGCTCAATGCTGGCAACTTCAACACAGGGGATACGATAGAGCAGTAAAGGCTGCTACCAAGAAAGGCTGTTGGAACTGTGGGGAGCAAGGACATCTGAGGAGCCAGTGTAAGAAAATACCACCAATAAGTCAGCT